GCGAAAGGAAGGTGGGCGGAGCTGCGGGTCGCCCGCGCCCGCTCTCCTCGCGCCGCCAAGGAGCAACAGTGGAGCGGGGCGCCCAGCCTGCGGGCCCAGGGCCCAGGGCAAGGGTGCCCAGAACCCCGAGAGAGTAGGCTGCGTGCAGAGGCTCCCCAACCACCTCGGGAAAGTCCCCCTGATTCTCCACGCATTCTTGAAGGGTTGGTCACCCGATCCGGCCCCCTCCCGGTAGCAGCATAGTTTTCCTAGTGCGTGTACATCATTCATTCACAAAGACTGACACACAGGACGTGAGGCATGCGGATGAACGGTGTGCGTGCGAGTAGGCGCAAGGGACTCGGGAGCCAGTGTCCTCAGAGGGCTTTAAGAATATTGGACTCCAGCGGGTTAGTGAGTCAGGAATCAAGACTGTTCTTTCTGATGAGCCTTTGGCTTTTCAGAGCCCACCCGTGGAATCGTTCAGAAAAGGCGGACCTGTCATTGATAAGCATCTAGACCAAGGCAGCCTGCTGGAGACCTCAAAGGCCCAAATTCTGCTGTATTGCTGAGAGAGTTGAGAACAGGACCCTCAAACTAGAACCCAGTCCTGAGCTTCCATAAGCTTCCATTTTACCTACAGCGGTGGTGTTCTGGAAAGGGAAGCTATTATTTTGTCCCTCTCATTATGTCACCGTTGGCCAAAGCTTTGTCTTTCCTTCCACAGACTCTGCTAGATGAAACTGACAACCCTACTACCATTACCACCAAAAAAGTGATGCAGAGGCTCCGTGGCTTTGAGTTTCTGGAGTACATCATCCCTAGTCATGACAGAACCACAGTGCACAGCCCCTGTTCCATTGGGGAATGCCAGCCGCTTCAGACAGCACAGCATGCTCCTGAATAATTAATGATTTGCCATGGATACATTGGTTATTCTAAATAACGATAGTTGGTCCTAATTAACAAATCAACCAGTAGATATAAAGGCACATAATCTATACTCACACAGAGCTAAGAGCCAGACATTAAGATCTGTCTTTGAGCAACTAAAAGTTAAATATAAATTTTTTCCGAACGACCTCGGGGAAAGCTATTTTTAATATTGTTTCCTGATTTCTAAGCATAGGTTGAACTCCTGCAACTTGCCTATTAACTGTCACTTCTGCCTCTGAGTTTTAACACACCTGCTTACCTTTATCTTATTCCAGTTTTTCTCTTTGAAGCATTCGTAACTTGCAGGTTTCCCACAGCAAATGGGGGAAAGATCCAGAAATAGAAACTAAATCTTGAGCTTCTGGTTCAAACTTCAGATTATGCCCATCCTTCAGCAACCAGAGAAAAATATTTGCATATGATAATTCCAATTTTTGAAAGATTGTTGTAATCCAGTGTTTCTAAAAGGTATGAGAAAACAGTGCTGGCCCCCAGATGACAAGAGCAGACATTTCTGATCCTGGGGAAAGCTGGGAGAAACAGCTGATGAATGAATTGTACATTCACACATCCGAATGAATAACAAAGAAAAGGATCTTGAGCCAATCCTGCCTTACCCACTATGAATACATCAGCAGAAGAACTGAGCAAGTCAAATGTTGCTTTGAGGAATTTTGTTTTATTGATGTTTTTTAAAAATTTGGGTTTGTTGGTTTTTGTTTTTTGGGGATTTTTTTGTTTGTTTGTTTTTAATTCAAGTGTGAGCACTTTTTTATTTTCAAAAGCAGCTTCCTTGGAACAAGTCCTTTCTCTATTCTGCAGTTGGCTCCTCGGCTTTCTTCCGCAGGCTAGCCTAAACATTGCTGCTAACACTCCACCCCAAATTAGACACTGAAAGAGCTCTCCCTTATTAAACTGTAAACACTTTCCACTCTGGCAGTGGGGGGATTTATTCTTTCAGTTCTTCAACAATGACATCTCAACTTGTCAATCATTCTTTTCTAATGCAGTCCTGAAGCACAGAAGCTCACAATGTTTGAAAGTCCCAATCAAAGAATGGGGTTGGTCAAAATGGCAGGGTTGGGGAGATAGACACAGGCTACTACAGACCTCCAAGAAAGTTACTTTTACATAAACTAATCTAACTATTGATGTTATCAGAAGTTACACATCTACCCTCAGATCTGGTTGAAACTTCACTTGGGATAAGGAGCATTAAGATAGACAAGTTAAAATATTGTAAAAGTATCACACTTGATTAATCAATTTTGATAAATGAAAATTTTATTCTTTTTAGGTCACAAGTAGATTTTTCTAAATGTTCTTATGGACTTTTAATGCCATTTCTGTCTGTCTTACTATATCCTAAAAAATAATGCCCCCCAAAAATGGTGCCTGACACATTACAGATGCTCAATAAATAGGTGTTGAATGGTAAATTATCAACTTTCTGGTCTCTGTGGGCTTCTACTTTGCCAACAACTCTTTCTAATTCATAGGTTAAGTAATTTTGATATGCTATGGCTTGTGAAGATGGACTAAAAAATGTCAGTGACTCTTCCTCTAAGTTGGCCCTTTGTCCTTCATGAGCAGACAAACTATTCCCCACCACTTCTGCCCACTCAGTTTCCTCACCAGCAAAACAAGATCTGCTGAGCCTTGCCTTCAGTTCACTTAGACAAGCTATTTTTAGATTAGATCTGATTTTTAAGGCATTCAAGAAAATTCAACCAAGGACATCATTCTTTGCTTTTGCTTGTAACATAGCAGTCTGCTCCTTCTCCTGCTCTTGGAAGAAAACAGAACTGCATTTTTAAACATTCCCTAGACTTAGAAAATTATATCTAGCAAGTGCTGAAATGCCTTAAACCAGAAATATCACGTCAATAAGGGTAAAAAAAAAAAGGCTGCAGAAATTGGGGGACAGGGCAGTGGCACTAGATGTTACTGTATCAAGAAAATAGCAACATTTTGATAAGAATCTCCTCAAACACGAAGAGTGTGTAAAAAACATAAACTTTCTAAGTTACACTCTTCCCTCAACTGTACCTCAACTTCAGCGAAAAATATAAAAATATATCTAATTTCAAATAATCATGGAAGATAGACTTTCTCTAGAAGTGTGCTAGAATAAGTTGTCTATTTCCTGAATCTTGAACTTCAAGAAACCAAAGAATCTCTGAGTTTCAAGCTAAAATATGCTGTATTAGAGGTAAGTTCAAAAACATTCAGACCACTAACGGCTGATCCAGAACAAGTTTATGACTCACAGATGTTGATTTACTGGTTTAAATGTAAGATTTTTTTTAAGTCCTCAATTAACAACCTGTCTGAGTTGTGGTTGTTCTTCTCTGAGAAAAGGCAAGAGTCCTTGTCGCACACAGAAACAGCCTTCTAAAGCTTAACTCTAAAGCAGGTGGTTTCTATGTGTCTCACTAAAGAGCACATCAGGGAAGAAAGATGTCTTGAGCTTCGATGCTCACCATGATCAAACAGCAATAAATGGAAAATCGGAGATTGAAAGGAAAATGAAAATGACTCTCTTAATTAAACTCTGATGCCTAAAGGCCTTGGGGTCAGTTCAAGAACCCAAGAAGGGGACTCAGAACTGTGCTGTTGCTGACTGCAGGCTGCCTTTGTGACCTCACCAAAGCCACTTAACCTATTTGTGTCACAACCTCATCTCTGTTTCAGGGAATAAAATCACCCCTGGCTCTCCCTACCATGTAATACAGACTCATTAGCTATTGTTTAGATGGTACAATAAACAGTGAGCGATAAGAAGAGCTGCATTTAGGAGGGAAGCAAGAGGAGGGATAGGCTGGGAGAGGGAAGGCTTTGGGGCCTCTTTGCCTGGGAAAGCTCTCCATAATAAAACCAAGATGGCAGTGAGTAGTGTAGGCTCTGGAATAAGACTCAGGTTCAAATTTTAACTCTACCAACTAACAACCAGCTGAATTACTACAAATAAGTCACATAATCCTGAACCTTAGTTCCTCCACGTATGAAGTAGGAATAATAATAACACCCACCTTTTAGAGTTATTTGGAAGATTAAATAAGAAAATGAATACAAAGCGGCACAGTGCCTAGGTCAGAGAAAGTGTTCGATTAATATTAAATCACTGTTAATGCTATTAAGATCCAGTATAAGATAGATTATTTGAGAAATCACATTAAATCTCTTCTCTATGGCCAGAGTCATTTGGATTCTCTATTTATATGTACTGTCTGGGGAGAGGTAGAATGATCATGCTTTCATTTAAAAATCTTTCCAAGACGTATCCTCAGTTCCTGATTTGGGAACTCACTCAGCTTTGATCTCAATTGGGAAATTCCAGCACTACCTGATCAGAAGAGAAAACTACAGATTTGTATTTGTTTTAAGAGTCACAGAAAAGCTGTGTTTCAAATACAGAAGGAAGATCATGTTTGTGGTGGTTCTTAGGAAACAAAACCTTAGGTCCTGGCTTTGTCACATATTAGAATAAGATGGAGCCTCTTAGGGGGAGTCAAGTCCAGCCCTCCTATTTACCAGAGGTGGTGGAAAATTAGTGTGAAAAAGTAAGTCATTCTGCCCAAAGCCACACAGCCTGAAAAAGGCAGTGTCAGGTCTAGAATGGGATCACCTGATTGAGGTTCTCTCCACGGCATCTCCTTATATTTATGGATATCACATTTTCAAAAGTCACTACCATTCAGCTTGGTCTGTTACTGGACACTCTTGAGACACAAAGCAGGATACAATGTACATAGGAACAGAGAGAAGATTGGACTGAACTTCTAGAAATACAACCACTTTCTCTTCACTGAATGTGTTGTCTTTGTGCAAGTACATTGCAAAATAACCACACTATCATTCCCTGTAG